AATAATTTTCCCACATTATTTACAGGTAACTGTTTTTACTATCAGTAGTGACGTTTCGGGGGAACCTCGGAATCTGGACGCCTCTTTCAGACACCCCTTTCAGAATAATCAGAGGTGTGGAAGTAGGAAAAAAGGAGCATTTCTCTATGGTTGAGTTCACATTCTTCTATCGCCAACCATGTTGGGTCGAGACTATTGAGATGATTTAGCGCAATTAAAGAGGCTGAGTATTATAGTGCTTGCAAGACTAAAATAAAGACTTTGATGATGCCGTTTGACTGATAAGTCGAATATCGAGCTTACTAGGAGCTGGTAGCATGATTCAATTAATACTCGTTTAACATCCTATTGGTGCCTTAAAGTGCATGCCTAAATGCTCCCCATAGGTGTCTGTTGGGAGGGTGGATGTCCGGAGGCACGAATGAGAAGACGGGTCAGACACTGTCAATGCCTGAGACGTAAACGCACTAGAGTTCTTTGACTGATGGGCTTACTGTGAAATAATGGAAAAGGCGTAAAAGTAATGCAAATGAACAACAAAGGCTTCGAGTAGGTGCGCCTTCCAAGATTATCGAATAGTATGCGAATCTTAATGCAGAGTATTTTCAGCAGCAACAATTGCTCTGATTCATTACCATCAAAACGAGACTTTTGTGGTTGCACAAGAAAACAGGATGAGGCAAATATTCAATCACTTCTGCACCTCCCTATTTGATGCTATGCTGCTTTATCCGCTTTAGCTTTGGAGCTTAAATATTCTCTCCTATCGAAAAGACTTTAAAATTGAATGCTAAGTCACAATGCCATTGATGGAGCAGACGTTGAGGCGCCCTTACGACCTCTCGCGTCGTTTATGAAGCCAAAAGGAAGTTTAATGTTAGGATTAAAGCTGTTGTGGGGATTTAGGAAAGGGCTGCCAATGGTTGTTATTCTCTTACGGTCCAGTAATTCTGAGAGGTCAAAAAACTGCGAAATTTCACCGCCGTACCTCCGTAGTTTGTCAACATTCTTATCACAACAGCTTGATTTTCAGCAGATACTGTCGTGCCTGACATGGATCCCATTACACGTGACTTGCCGTATTCTGTCTCTCTCTCTCTCTCTACGTTACCCTATCAGGTCAAACGATCTGGTGCCATGATGGTTATAAAACTCGGCAGGATGCACCGTTGCCCACTCAGCTCGGACACGGTCGGTAAGCAGCGTTACTTTTCTCCTTTCTTAAGCTTCTCTGGTTGAGTGGTGTGAGGAATGCCTCAGGTAAGTGTGGATACTGCTCGAAAGTCGTTACACAATTATTTATACGGATATTACGTTAGCTTACTGGTACGCAGTCCCAAATCGGTGCTCGTGGAAATTATCTGCACCAAAATTCGAGTTGTATGAAATTTAATGTAGTCAAATGCCTTAATAGCCTAGACTAATTATGAATTTGTCATTAACTTAACAACTTTCTGCAACGCCCTCTTTACGAACTGTTCCCATCACTCACAATTATTTTTGAATAATTTGTTGGCACCTATCTCAATCAGATGCATTCTGTTGCGTCGTAGCATTTCATTTCAAACTTTTCGAGCACTACCTCGTGCCATCCCGAGACATTCATCATCACTTTATCCTCAGAATAAAAATCGTTCCATGAGCGCAGACGTGTTTTGTAAATACTTAGGATTGGGCACCTGCAAAACCACAAGTAAAGCTCTTGAACCTAAAGATGTTTGCGAAGAAAACATCTTTCAGCAATGGTCAAGATCACCCATTCAGCTAGGAGATAATGCCATCACCATTCTTCTTGTGTGTGTTTTTCTTGTACGTAATTATTGTCACCTTCATTGGAGATCAAACGAATTCATTGGAACTGCCCAGCTGAATAATAAAAGCTGACTGAAAAGAAAGGACTCTGGAGATTACAGATTCCGCTTCTTAAAATGAAATGCAAGTACCTTGAAAAAACCTCCTTTAGGTGGTTTGCAGTAGCATTTTATTTACTTTTTTATGTGTATAGAGCGACAGTCGTGTGACAATGAACTCAAATATCAAATACGCAGTGGTTCTTCCAATCATCCTGGTTTTCACCTGCTTAGCAGTTGCACTAGACATCAACATATGCGGCTCCCTCCTCACAAAAAGCTGCCAACGCGACGAGGCTTACAAACAAATGGCAGCGCTGCTAGCCACTGCTCTGGTCCTCTTCATTATAAGTACTATTTTCGCCTTCATCTCTATTTTTAATAAGAAGTGCTGGGTTTGCATCAGTGAGTTTATCACAGCCGTCGCCGGTGGCACACTACTGCTCACTGCACTGTGCATCTACTACCAAGGGAAACAATTCTGGGCACCGCTGGTGGCTGGCATTGCAATGACATCAGGGATGCAGACTTCTGTCTTTATGCTCATCGACATGATAGCCTAGGCTTAATCATGATGGAGCCCGAAATGTGCACACCGTTGTTGCATGCACGACGTCATAAAACCACTTTCGGTACCCCCAGATTGCTACCACTCCCGTCTTAATGTTCGGTTTCCATTTTAATTAAGATGGATTTATTATGTGAAGCACTTAGTGACTGCATTTTACTAACTTGTTTATGCGCAACAACTTGTAATGCCTTAAAGACCTCTTATAATTTCATCAACGCTCTCAATTTAAGATGTCGACGAGAGAATTTCGCGAAAATAAAGTGCATGCACAAAAGGACTAAGGAGCCATTTGCATCTCTGGAAGGAGATCATGGTGCTCAGCAGAGGTTCAAAGATGGAGTGTTAAGATCACAAAGGGTCAATGCATCCTACAACTTCTCCCACCTCTTGAGTGTCAACGCATATTTGCTATTACATCGTAGCCGAAGCTATAGGAAAACTTTCGTGGAACCAATCACCCTATCCCTCGCATTTGCGTACAGTTGACTGTAGTCCTTATTGCTCTTTTAGGTTCTGCCTAGTTTAGGGTGTGTTGGAATTGTAATGTGTATTTAACATCTTGCATGTCCCTCTGCTGTTGTTAGGGCACTGAGATAGACCACCAAAAGTTGGC